ATCTATAATATTCGCGAAGCCCGGGGTCTATAATATTTTTTATATAATTCTTTAATAATGCTTTAATAAAAATTACTTTACGCGGAGAAACACGCGCTAGCAACTATAAAATAATAAAAAATAGAAAGAAATTACTTATATAGATTTTTTTACTAAATTAATATATAGCGCTTTCTCGACCTTCCTATATTTAACAAATAGCTAATATTTTTCTTGCTGCGCGCGGTATAATATCTATTTAATTAGTCGGTAAGAACTAAATCTCTATTTTTATTAAATAATATAATAGAATTAGAACTTGCTGTAGTTAATACTATAATTACCGATAAGCAAAGTACAAAGACTCTAAAATAATTAGAAAGTAGTTTAACCGCGTATAAATTATTATAATATAATATAGAATTAATTATACTAGAGAATATCTATAATTTTAATAAAACTAGTTTTGCTATAGGTATAGAAACTACTGCTTTAATAATTATTAAGAATAATTACTATAGTAAAGCCTCTATGGTATAGCCAGATAATTAAAAATAAATTATTTTAATTAAATATATCAATTCTACTAGCTAGATACTTCCTCTATATATTATTTTTAAAGAAAAGATCTATATAAAAAACTAACATAGAAATATAGAGTTTTTACATAATAGTAGAATTAAAGTTAATTCTAATAGATAGACTACTAATAAAATAAGCTTTCACTAGCTAAAAATATTTTTATTTATATTACTTCTAGTTATATAACTAAAAAATATTATCTTCTAATTTTTAACGACTATAATAGCTATCTTATATTTTAATGTAATTTAATTAGCTCTATAGCGAAAATAACATAATTCCTACCTATATATCTGCTTATTCTTCTTATAAGCTTTAATTTCTAAATATTTGCTGTTTTACGCCTTTAAAAAAGATATATAAAATATTAATAGACTAAAAAATAAAAAACGCGTTTAAGAGTCGAGTTTGTTAATAAATTCGATCTTTTAAAGGCTTTTCTAGCTGCCTGCAGAAGCGCTTTTTAACTAGAAACTATTAGGAATAATTTTATAGATAAAGGCCTAGTTCTATTCAATCTAGATAGGATGCTTAGTTAGTTAGAAATTTAACTAAAGACTCCTACACCACTAGATAGTTAGTTAACTAATTTAGCGCCGAAAACACTCTATACTATTAAATAGTTAGAAAAATAGATATCTACTATAAAAAAAACTATTTAAAGAACGTTTGTACAGCTCTTTACTACTACTAGAAATATAATTAAATAAAATTATTAAAGATTATAAAATAGCTTTAAATAAGCTTATTTTTACGCGTGGAGAACTACGTAACTATTATATTAATAATAAATAGAAAAGTTAAAAGCGTAAGCACCTAATAGACAGCTAGCTTTTATAGAGGGGCTATCTATTTAGAAAAATTTAAAGCGATTCTAGCGCGAGGATAAGGTTAGTAAAACTTAAAATACACTTTTTATAAATTCTATACTTTCTGCAGTAGAATTACGCGTATAAGCTCCCATATAGTGTTCTAATTATTATATTCAGGGATATACTAGAGTTAGATATCCTAATCTATCTAGTAATTAATTTTTAGATAGAAATACAATTGCTTGGTTAATAAAGGCTCTAGTATTTGGCCTGTAAGCAGGATTTTTGAAGCGGTAGCCCGCTCGACCGGGAAATATATTAGCTCTTATTTCGTTATGTAAGCCAAATAATCCTGTTATAGAACAACAATAATATATCTAATACCGAGAACACTGCTAATAATAATATTAAAGAATTTTTCATTGCTTGAAAAAGCGGAATATATAGCTAGGTTAGGAAATATAGGAATTTATAGACCTATAGACTGGTAGCCATTGAACCCCTGTTTAATAGTTGTCAGCTATTTTCATATGAAGGGAGTATAGATAAACTAGAAACCATTCTATGGTCAGCAACATAGAAAAGTGATTATTTATAGCTTTTGAATTCTCCGTAAAAATATTGCCTTTTAATATATATACACCAATGCCAGTTATTCAGGTATATTCTACCAGGTCTATTTCTTAGATGTAAAATCTACACTTCATTTATAAACAGTGTCAAGATATTTACTTTAGTCTAAAACAAGTAGCAGTAAGTCCAATATTTAATTAACCATATAGTCTTTTTTAGTTCAAAACCGAATCCATCCTAAGACCAATAATCATGGGAAAGTAGACAAAAAACTATCATAGTATACAGTTTAACGTAAGGGTATCGAGGTCCAAATTTAAACTGTTTCTACTAAAGTATTTTACACGCGAGCTTGATACCTGAACAATTGCTACCCCTTCCGAGTTTTAGACACCATCAAAAATTCTGCTCAAATCAATCACTCTAAAGCGCCTCCCCAACCGTTGCATAAAGCCAGTATTCTTACTATATGCGATGCAATATGTATTCACTTTAAAGAGAATTAGTTAGGAAACTATATTAAATAATATAGATTATAAAAATACACAATAGTCAATGCTATAATTACCAATAAGCAAAATATAAAAATTGTATAATAATCAGAGTAATTTACATTAATTTTTATTTTGTAGTACTAAGAGGTATAATAGATATATATAATTTTAATAACTCACTTTATTTTAGGCCTAATAGCTAGTAAATAAGTAGTACTAATGTTAGTTATTATAAAAGGTTAATTTTTACCCAGCTAAAGAACGCAAGATAAATAATCCTATCAAATATACTAGGTTTACTGGCTAGACGCTTTATACATTATATCCGAAGAAAGCATCTAATATAGAACGTTATTAATAAAAGACTTAAGCTCTTATATAGAATAGCATTAAAATTAAAATTAACTTAGATAAAGTAAAACAGCTATAGGTTTCAAACATATCAAGGTAAATATTTGGTTGTGCTAAGATAAAGCAGATGTTATAAACCCCCCGAAGGCCCCGGAAGACGGGGTAGAGTTGCTTGCTAAAGACAGCTATGATATATATCCTGTTTTCTGCTTAAACTAAAATAATAATTGAATAAGAATATTATTGTAATAATAGAATCTAGATAGTAGGGCTGAGGCCGCTCTTTAAAATATATAAAGTAATTTGTATTGGGCCAACTGCTAGTAATAACTCTCAACGTCATCGAAGTCTTTTTTAGACTTCGAATACGTTCAATAGGTTATTATATATTTAGGCAAAGCTCTATAGCTTCGAGATCTAACTTTTTGAAGATATAAAGGTTGCCTCTATACCTTTTTAAAGGATAAATAATCTTTATTTGTCCTAAAATCTTAGCTTGTGCGGTAAAGATTCTCTCTGGAGATAGCGATAGCCATTCGCTAGGCAGCGAATCTATTTATGCCTAAGATTACAAGACTATAAATTATGTTTAAAAAGGTTTATTTCCATGTAGAGAGCCACGTAAGTATTACTATAATAATAAATCGATCTATTAAAGCGTCGCATAAAGAGGCTAGATAATTAGGAAATTAAATTATTTTTTAAATTTTTCTACTTAAATTAAAAAATTTCTCTCCGTAAATCTAGCGCCATCTATAAACTTAAAATATAGGTTTAAATACTAGCGCGTTATTAATTATAACGACTTTAGAATATAAGGAATTGTATTTTTCAAGAAGCTAGTTTAATGAAAATTTATATTCAGGGTAGTTTTCTTTCCTAGAAGCCAAAATTTATAAAAATCTTTCCGTACACAGCTTTATATATATAATGTTAGCTAAATAAAGATATAGCAGTTAAAATTATATAGTATATAATTAGAAAATAAAAAAGCTTATAGGATAACATTATTCTAAAGTATTAAATCTACTTATAATTATCTGATAACTTTATTATTTAGTATATTAATTGAATAATATAATACATACAATCTATATATTAGAACTGTTTTAAATTTAGAGATTTAAAGTATGATAACATACATAGAATTATTTATTATATATTAAAATAGGGTACTAAATTGATATAACTTATTGTAAAATTCATCTACTAAAACTGCTGTTTTTATAAAGATATAATTATAACAATATTATAGTGAACTTCAATATGCTAGTAAATAATTACAATAGAAATTAGTTTAATATACTGTTAATATTTGATAAGAAAATTTTTTAATAATCGCTAACTTAGTCTAAAATTCATTTGGAAGAGAATGGTATTTTATAACCACTATAGTAACTTTAATTTATTACATATGTCTATTAATAGTATAATAATACGATATATTAAGATACTCAAGGCTTTTATAAAAATTTTAGCTATTTTTAACTTAGTATAAATCTATTTTAAATATATTTTAATAAAGCTATTATATAAAAACTATGGTTTATTAAATTAGTAGATATAAAGTAAGTTTAAAATTTTATTTATTTCCTGGAGCTGCTAATGGAACCTAAAAAGGGATTATGAATATTAGAATAATCTGAAAAAATTCTATATAGTTATATAGAACTCTACAGAGACATAAGTAATATATGTTTTACTATTAGCTTTTAGAATCTAAATAAGCAAAAGATATTACTATAGGAATATTCTAATAGTTACAATCTGGATAGATAGTCTATAATTTTTGCTCTAAATGTTTCCTTTTTTTTAAAAATTTTATTTATGTCGGTGTCTATATATATATCTTATGAATTATTTTACTGATCTAATGCATGAAGAAAGTTGGTATTAGCGATTTTTTATTATATTTAGAATGTTTTATAACCAAATCTGTATTAAATCTTAATACTAAAGGCCATAGATTATAATGTAAAGCACTTATGAAGTATAATATATTAAATAGAATAAAACAGGATTTTTATTGCAGCGACGTTTCGTTTCAAAAAATGACTTAATAGGCACCCCATAATTTCTAAATATTAATAAACAAAAAAATATAGAAATATACTAAAGTAAAATCTAGAATCTAATAGAAAATACTTATCCATTTAAAAAGAATCTCTAGCTTTAGAAAGTTGCAACTACATTTTCTAATAATAAAAAACTAAAATTGTTATTATTAAATACACCATATTTATTGAAAGAAAAATATCCAGCTATTGAATCTTAGATATTTTTAAGTTATTTTTTAAAATTCCTAGAATTACATATTTTTAGGCGGTAAGAGAAAGTTGGAGATTTTTAATACTACTAGATAATCGATTCCTTTAATTTTTATCGTCTCCTTTTGCTATTCCATAGCTTAAAGTTAGTATGATTAAATTTATAATAATTATCTTCTAGGCTTAATATAATTAATAGCTAATTTTATTAACCTTATAGATGTTTTAGAAGGGAATTTACGACCATAGAATCTTAAAACATTTAACTAATCTTAAATTAAGTTTAGGATTTTTTATTAGACATACTTACTTTTGGTCTTTCTGTTTCTATTTAATAAATTTAATTTTTTTCTAAAGTTATGAAATACTTGTTGAAGTAAAATATAAATTTCAAGTTTGTTTATTATAGGCGTGCCCGAAGCCGCTAGTAAAAGTATTAATTTTATATAACAACTCGATAATATTAAGATTTCTAATTTAGCTGTTTCGCAGACCTTTGGAAATCAGTTCTTTATTTTAAAATAAGGTTTTATAAAAGTAGTAGTAGATAGTAGGTCAAAAAGCTTTAATTTTATTGATAAGGTAAATCTTTTTGTTGTGGCCACTAGAAATATGATAGAGCTGCTTACTAAAGATGGCTATGACAATTAGTTATATTAGAGCTCTCTCGCTAGTCTTCTTAAGAACTAGCGATTAATTATACATTTAGCTATTGGATAGTCTTCTTACTATTTCTATCCATTATATTAATGTTAGATCTTTACTCCACTAGAAAGTAAGCTATCGCAGCTGTCCTGCGTGACTCCTAGCTACGTCAAAACTCTCTACCTTACATCCTAGCACATTAGCTACCACCTCTAACATAGAGGCACTAGGCTACCAATAAATCTTAATCATTTACTTGATTTCACGATTTTTTATGATATTAGCAAGTACTCATTCTACATAAAAAATCTAGGAAATTGATAGTTTAATAGTTTCATATTTTTATTTCTGTCATTTCTACTAGAAAATTGGTTGTCATATTTATTTGTACGGCTGGCATTGTAAATATTTAAACTACTATTCAAATTACCCATATCGGTTAGTTATCTATCAAACGAACATACAGGCCAACCAACTGTAATAAGAAAAGTATGAACGCCCTCCAGTAGACAGATAAAAATATAAATTATTAATTAAATATATTTTTCAAGGCTATTCTACTATAACACCTATAAATAGCCCTTATTAGATGTAATATATTTCTAAACTAGCTATTTATGGCATCTATAGATTACTTTTTACATGTACTATTAGATTTAGTTGGTCTGAACCCTAGACGGGTTTATTTCTAGGTTAGATTCTTATGGTTTGGGCTAATCTAGTAATGTGTGTATTTAATATCAAATAACCAGAATCTATCCGCGATATAAGAGAGAACTCTAGTCTATATCTCGTCTATTATTTTATTCAGCATAAAAACAGGGTTTTCTTTGTACTTATATAGATTAGAACTATTTTGTAAACTCTAGTTATATCAATTCCTTATTTTTATAGAGCTGTTAAGTCTTTTTTGAATGCTAATATTCGATTTTGAGTCGAACAGTTTACAATTCTTGGATTCTGTAGTAAATAGTTTAGTCTTCACAGTACCGGTACCAGCAGAATATAATTTTTTTTTACATAAGCTAGTTAATTCACATACAAAAAGTTTTACGCTGCAGGGTGGCTCTATAGTCAGTCCAAATATTATAGAACAAAGAGAATTCGATCATACGACTGTTTTAGGGACTTAAAGGTATTTAATATATTGAGCTAATTTACTAATGTATGTAATGTTTTAAGACCACACCACTGGAACATATATTTCTAGCTACAAAGTAGCTTTAATAATATAGTAGCGAGAAATATAATTGGTTAAAACTAGACCTTAGAGGTTTTTATTTTCGTCATCAAGGTTCAGTGTCACTGGTGTCAATATAATATAACTAACGTGTCCTTCAGATTCTAAATATTATTAAATAAAATAGTTACTAAAAAATCAAATAAAAAGTTAATTTAGCTAATCTGAACATTATGACCTAACTTTATCTATTTGGCTATCAAGTTTTACTATTTTTATTTTATATTTTAAGCCAGTGTCTAATTCAGTAATATGACTGATATTCCCAATAATATAACCCTATACAGTGAAATAATAACACTTTGGAATTACGTTCACGGATTTTTTAAAAATTCCAGGGAATGCTTAACTTTATGAAAAAATTCTATGTATTTAATTACAGGGAGAGCTGACCCTTATATAGTTATCTAGTGACTAAATTTTCGGCAACAACATAATTTAGGAGCGGTAGCCTAGACCATCAGTGCAAGACTATGTAGAGTGGGCTTATGGATGAAACCTATCAAGGATTCTGAATAATAAAGCAGTAGCATTCTAGTCTAGCTTGTTCCCTAGGTGCCGTCCAACAATATAGATTGTGCTATTATAGAAGAATGCTATACTCTCATGCAATCTCCCAAGATTGGATTATTTATTATTTTAATATATCTAACTAGGGCTTTATTTGTTCAAGTCTCCTAGTACTATAAGTTACTAAACATTCACTGGTCGATAATAGCGCGTGCGGGCAGGCAGCGCCGCTAATAGACAATATAATTGTTCGTAGCTTAGCTTCTGGATATGACAGAGTAATATGGAATTCCGTCATTTGTACAGAACATCGAACCCACCCCTCCCTATTTTAGGGGTTTTGGATTTTAGTACTTAGGCGTAATGGCCTAACGAATAACCAATGCTAAAGTGCCTAATTTCTGAAGGTTCTGATTTTAATTGATATATATATTATAAGTTTATAGATATGTATCGACTATTAAAAAATATTAAATCTACTAAATTCAAATTTCCTAGTAACTTAGTTAATTCCCTTATAAGGGGACACGAAGATTAATATACTTGTATTTTGGATCTACGCAAAGACTCCAACAGGAATAAAATAACCTTTACAATATTATTGTAATAAGCTTTAATATATTTTACAGCTTGGTATGGAGTCTTTAAAATTGACATGTGATAAGAAACTGTAACAAAAGGTTCTCTATACTATTAGCTAGTAGTGTAAATAACTTAAGTACCTTTTAAGTCGTATTATTGAAACAAATATTTTCCGTTTGGATAAATCAATATATCTAGAGTAAAGCTAGCCGACCCCTACAGTACTGTCCCGGGGTCACTTGTAGGGCAGTCGGACTCTACGGGGCTCCCCGGTTGCGACGGTTACTGAATCATAAAAAAATTAAGCGGAAGTTTTACAATTTTTATCAAAAATCCTGCCTTGAAGCTACTATAGTGAATGAAGATTTACTAGTCTTCATTTTTAATCTATCTTTTCAAATAATTTCTTGCGCAAGCGCTCGCTCCTAAAGCTTATAATAATTCTAATCTCGGCTGCAAGTAACTTAATCAAATTAGGATATTGTATTTCTCCAATATCTACATTCTAAAAAAACTTACTAAAAAATATAATTATATCGCGTCATAAATAATATTTGGAAAACATATTTTGCTTCTTTAGCTTATATCTTGCGGTGAAACCTAGTAATTTACTGCGAAGTTCGGCTAGGTAAATCTATATAATTCTATTCTTTATGGACATGAAAGGATAGTATTAGAGATTGTAGCGAAGCTAATTAGAATAAAGTAAGATTTTTTAAAGTGCTTTGGTATTTTAGATATTTAAGGAATTTAATCGCTATTATCATTAGCGACCCTATTAAGAGTAATATAATATTTAATAATTATATTCTCTACTGTAATATTGGAATTAGTAAATATAGTTTTAATATTCTGAAAACTATATTTAATACTATATCGATAAACAGTCTAACATTAGACCAACTAAAGCTTAGCTAAGAATCTATTCTATAACTAAATCTATATTAATATATAGTATACTTATTATTTCTCCTGTATAGTCTAGTATATTTATAGACATAACGTACGCCTATGTAATTAAAGAAAATCCAGTGACTGATATATAGGGATAAATATCAACTAGTGTCTATAATCTTCATAGAGGTCAATATATAACATATATTATGTGAAATTCATGGTTACCATAGAGAATACCAGGATTATTTTATTTCTACTGTGCTGTAGCTCTACAGATGAGATTGAATATCGAATAAGAGACTCGGTTGTCTGTTCTTAGGGGCTTCAAGATATCCTTTTTTAAACTTTCAGGCATATTTTTTTTCCTGAGATACCTAGTGGGAGGTTTATTTTCCTAGCTATAGCTTAAATACCAAAGATATAGTTTAAGGTGAAATAGAAAGTTAAATAAACATCTTTGTTTCTAGTTATACTTCACTAATCGATGTTAATTCTAGTATAAAGATCCATCTTATTAAAATTCTATAAATATTTAATAGCATCCTGCAGTATTATGAAAACCGAATATAGACTGATTAATCAAATTCCATAATTATAGGCCTGCCTCCTCTCAGCTCCTAGAGGCTTTTTAGATCTTATAGAATA